CTTTTGGCTTTCCAAGTTGGCTTCCTGTCTGGGAAGATAGATATTACGAGCGCAGAAGAGATTTCCTGCAGTGTGGCAAGAGTGCGAGCACATTTAAGGGAACATTTTGAGAGGAAACGGAGAAAGAAGCGAAACAAAAAAGAAAGCCATCCCATGCAGATTTCGTTCTTGTTAGATGGCTCGATTACAGGGCGACTGCCAAGTATTGGCAGTCGCTCTGAAACGGAGTGAAATTTCATTACACAGAGCCTCCGCTTTGCTGCCTCTGTCACCCCACCACGCATGCCGGACTCCTGCTGCATCCAGCTGGTGCCTTCTGGTGCGAGGCGCGTCTGGACTGAGTGCCCATGCCGCTGCTGCCGTGACGGCCTGCCCCCGCGGCGAACGCGCGGAGGAGGGCATTTGATTTGAAATCCACGCGGCCGCTGTCCACCAGGAGGAGTGAAGGGGGGGGGGGGAGATAACGGGTGTCGGCTGGCCATGGCGCCGGCACGGGCAGTGTAAAAAGAGGATCCTGTTGCAGCTGTTGCAATAGAAGCCGCTCGTCCGCCCGCTCGCCCGCTCGCCCGCTTGCCCGCCCGCTCACCCGCCCGCCAGCCAGCCTGGTGCGACGCGATCGATCTCGCGTGCGTTTGCCGCGGAGCAACCCCCAAAGCAAAACCTTCGTCATTTAGCATTTGCGCGCGGACGTGATTTGCGTGCAAATGCCGTCGCTCGGTTTTGTCGACGATACGAGCGATGCTCGGATGCGGGCGTACCCGGATTTTTACAATGCCGCTCTTTGTAATAAATCACATTTTACAACAAGCGAGGGAGAAGGCTAAAACGTATATTATTTCATTAGACAATAATATGGGTCACCAGTTTGCATGTTATATGGCGCTTGTCTATTGTGTAGTCCCTTTAGGCAGAGCAGCATGTGTTTATGTTTACGACAGTGGAACTCATTTTGTAAATCCTTATGTAAGCATCTTTGTTAAATTGGTTAGCGCAGTGTGTTCTGGAAGGAAAAGAAATAAGTGGTCTTACTTTTTGCTCCCAGGCGTGCCACATATGTTTGCTTTACATTCCCACTTGCCGATAACAAACCCATCATGCACTGCAGGGATTGTGTGTCCGTGTGTGTGTGTCTGCGTGCGTGGCAGAGTGTGCATCCGCGAGTGCCGGCACGCGCGTACAGGAGTGAGCCAGCGCAAACGTGCCTGTCCTATTCGTGTGAGTGGGAGTGTGTGTGTGTGCCTGTGGGTGCGTGAGTGTGAAATGTGTGGGTGTGTGTACTTGTCGGTGGGTGGGCTTATGCACGACGCGCGTATGTGAATTTGTGGGAGTCAAAAAGAATGTCGTGCAATTCTGTACATGTGTGTGCTTAGGCCCCCCTATTAATGCGTTTGTGCAATTTCTGTGATGGCTGTTTAAAGTTTTCTCATGTGCGGTTATTTCCTTGAGCCTTTCAGACAACAGCTGTTCGGCCCAGATGGCTCTTTCTACATCCAAGGACTGTGTCCAATATCATAATTGCGTAACGAGATGGGAAAAATTAACAGAAACACAGAAGAAGCCTCTGTCTCGGCAACAATCGAAGTCGGGACCATGGGGTGGCTCGGTCCTCCCGGAGTGACTCATAACCAGGTGACCCTGCCAGGGTTTATTGAACCCATGAGCTAATGCACAAAGATTGTGGTCACGATCAATAAATGAAGCAAACGCATAGAAATGTGAAGTGCGAGCGCGCGCTGTGAGGGCGGCAACGGAGCTCGCGCACAGCGGCACAAAAGGAATGGGGGGCGGGAGGACGGTGGGGGCGAGCTGTGGAAGTCGTGACGGGCGAGCGTGTGCGGTGGGGTCGATTGTCCGTTCCCTCGCTTTGAGTCATTCCAGCTGCTCTCTTTCATTGATCGGTGACGTGGCCGCTTGAGGTGGTGGGGTGATGGGGGTTCGTGGAGAAACATTTTTTTTCAAAGAAGCACAAGAACACGGACGCACCGCACACACACTCACACGGACCCAAATGTGACCGTCTGAGAAGTGGTATGTGCAATTTCCTGGAGACATCTGAGAGAATGATGTTGCAACGGAAGGAAGTTACACTCCCACATGCAGCGTTGTGTTTGGCACATGCTGCATGTGGTTATGCAAGACGCTGTGGTTTTCCAGGGAGAACGGTTGAGTATATTTTAGAAAATGTACAATTACAGTTCCCTTCTATGAAAACGCGATTGTCCTCACATGGCATGAAACGGGAGTGGCAATTAAACAAAACAACATCTCTTTTGTAAAAACCATAGCGTTTGGTCGCGCGCGTGTGATCACTGTGAAGACACTTTCGTTATTTTCTTCACGAACCGATGTGAACAGCAATCCGATGCATGGCACAAGATTCGGTGACCTCTTCTTGTTCCATGACCATCAAAATGCGCTCACCCACCGTCGCTATGATCGGTTATGCTGAGCGGTCAGTTTCAATTGTCGAGCCTAACAAAGGAAATTGAATGGAATTGTGCACGCTGTAGCCGTGGGGATTTGTATTATTTTTTTTATCCTCAGCGGAAGTCTGTGAGAGTTGGTGATTTATTGTGCCCAGACGGGTAGTGAAATATCCTCCTTCCTTTTGCCTTTTCTTGGAGGCCGCTGCACCGTGAGGGTCCGAGTGACCTCTACCCCGATCGCGATGATCACGAAGGGAGCTTTGAAGCAGCAGGTGATGCCTTGAACCGAAATGACTCAGACTTTGAATCTTGGCCTGCTCGCTTTGGGCTCAGCAGCCATCTTGGGTATCTTTGCGATTACACTTGAGACTGTAAGTAGCTACAATTTCTGTTGTGATTGTGCCGGGCTTCATCCCACATTCTCAGCAAAATGCGCGCAGTCGTCTAAAACGCCTGAAACAACGTTTACTTAAAATAATTTATTTAAAACGTATGCATTTGTAACGGACGTGTGCAGTAAAGTGTTTAAAGTCTACAGGTTTGTATGTGGGTGCCCATGAATGCCAACATTGAGATGGGTGCTTGGACAGTGTTTTCTTGAGCCATGTTAAAAGAAAGGGAAGAGTGGAACCCCGAAATTTACAGCTCAGATCATTGCTGGAGAGCTCCTCTAGAGGGCCTTTATTGACATATTCTTCCATGCTGGACAGACATGTTAGCAGAATTTGAAATACCCACACTCTACCCCACCACACACACACACGTCCTGCCAATCGACTGACTGGTGTACCCATTTATGCTGCTGGGTGGACAAGGGTGAGGGGGATTTAAGAAACTTACCCGAATTTTAAATTGCCATCCGGTGGGAGATCGAACCGGTGACCTTTTAGATTGCAAGTCAGTGTGCTCACCGTTACGCCATGGCAGCACGTAAGCGACGAAACAAAACAATATTTTGTAAACTGTTCGCTTTTCTGGAGTTGGTTAATTGTCCTTATAAACATCTCATTTTTTCCTGCCAAACAATATGGCTTCGATAGGAAACGATTAGCCATGGCTGATTGTCTTTGTCGAGTGGTTTAGCTCAACCCCTGGGTTGTTGCACGAACGCGGCGGCTGACACAGCAAGGGCAGTTTCATCTAAAAATCCAGCTGCGTCTTGCGCTGGCCACGCACCTCGAGGAGCCCCTCTTAAGTGTGTTTGCCTCCACAGCTCCGGGCCACAAAAAACACAAGACAAATATCATGATGAAAGATACGCACGTGCATATTATGTACAAGTGTGAATTTTCATCTGCTCGGCAGAGAAAAAGTACAAAGGGTCTTGCGCAAAAAAAATTGAGGCCCCTTTTCGTGAAAACACCTTTCGCGGATAAATTGGCCACTGGACCGCGGAGCTAATTAAGGTTCCGTCTTTGAGCTACAGTCGGATGCAAACGAATGCAGCTGCATGCGCGTGGAGCGCACGTCAATGCGAGCGCACGTGTTCTAATCGTGCGGGAGTGACATCTGACGATCGTTCGGCTATCTCGTGCTCCGCGATTGCGTATGCGCGGCGCGCCGCCGCCGCTTGGAGCCTGGCGAGCGGGCGCTCGCATGCAGCGTGGTGCGGCCGGGCGGGAAGCGTGCCCCCCACCGTTCGACGCTCGCACGTGGGCCCTCTGCGGAACACGTGCACACGTATGTGCACGCAAGCACAAGGCACTCGTGTTATGGCTGGAATGCTTACTGGGCTTGCTGGCTCATGCATTCCACGCGCAGCACTCTTTTGAAGTGCTGCCACAAATCCATGCAGTTTCTCCCCCCCCCCCCACTCTCTCTCCTCTTGCTTTTAATGAGAGAGACTGCTGTGTGGCAAATTCCACTACGCTGGCTGTCTGGCCCGTTCCCACAGGCTACAATTAGAATGAAACAGCATGCCCGTCTGACTTGGCAGGTTCCAAGCTACTTGAAATATAATATGCAGAGCTTTCTGTACAGTACTTTTATCCCATTGGTAATTTTTTTTAAAGAAGCTTAACATATATTTAATGCTTAAAAAAGACTTCAAGAAAAGCTTCCAGAACAGAAGACAGGTTCAAACAGCGAATCGAAGGGAGGGTTTTCAAAATATTATGCTGCAACACTTTTATGGCCCATGTGACTGGTTTTGAAAGGATTTGTTTTGAGTGTCTTTTAATATTTGCCATGGGACACGGCTATGTAAACTTCACATAGTGTCACTCTATCTACTGACCTCGATGTATATTTTTACAATGTGTGGGATGGTTGTGTGCATGTGATAAAAAACAATATACCCATGAGGCTTGGATGGGCCTCATCCTGACCCGAGTGTTCGAAAGGGTCTTTTGTTTTATTCCCACACACTTTGATAGTGGCCACGTATTCGCCCACCTAGAGGCCATCGTGCATCATCTAAAAAAAACAATGGTGTGGAAATTACCCCGCGGGGCCTCCTGGGCTGGACCTTAAGCGCCATCGGGAAGACGCCGCTCGCACTGACCCACGGTGGTTGTGTTCTCCTCCGAGATTTTGAATGCGACGCGTTTTCCTTTCCGTGTCAATCCCCCCCAGGTCTCCGGGAGCAGGCGGAGGGCGCGACGAGCAGGGCAGCCCAGCGGTGAAGAGGGCGGGGGATCTACTGCAGGACCTGGGCCGCATCAAACACGACATGCAGGCCATCCTGCAGGTGGGCCCGGCACGCACACACGCGCACACGCTACCCCACGGGATGTCGCGCCGATCAGGAGCAGATAAACTAAACACGTACAGTAGTTGGGTGCACTAAGGCTTTATTGGCCAGTTGGTTTCTGTGAAAGGGGGATTACTCAACGCGGGGAGAATCAGAACAATTTGCAGAATATAAATAATTAAATAACCGTGGATCCGCCGATGGACGAAGGCTTCCACACGCCGCTTTGGTCATGAAGGTTTCTTGACCGTACTTCACCGCGCTGGTCAGTGGGGGGATTGGTGAGGGGCGGGGGGGAAATATCACTCGCCATTAATGTTGTCCGTGGCTGGGAATCGAACTCTGGTCACCGAGCGCAGTGTGCTAACCACTGCACCACCGCTCCACCTGATTTGCACAAGAGGGACCCGTATCCATTGTAGTCAGCTGCTCTTTTCCTGCGTCTGTCAGTCGCTGTCTCTTTTTGCCTCGCCGCTCTCTCCCTCCCTCCCACCCACCCGTCTCCGGACGCTTCAGTCCCACGCTGCGTCATGAGCTCAAACTCTCTGCTCGGGAGACAACCAGTCAGTCTCGAGTCTCGAGGCCACTGCGCTGCAATGTCTTTCATCTGCCAGTTTCACTGCCTTCTCAGTGAGGGCATCTGGCCAGGCCGACTTGGCCTGGAGTGAGCACCCTGGCCTGGTGATTCGTGAGTGCCCTCAGCAGATTCACATATTTACGATGTCGGCATGTAGTTAAAGACACGGAGCTTGGACATACAAACAATACACCTGTCCCTGCCCTTTAAAGAGCAACTTTATAGCCACTAATCACTCTACCCCACATTGGTAGTAAGTCCCATGCACAACAACAACAACGGGACATTTAACACAATGCTATGTTGATTTATGTGGTCGTCTAAATGCAACTGCATCTCAAGATGCTGTACAGACACAGGGAATATTTACTTTGTAGGAATTGGCAGTTAGTGATAGGTAAAGCAGAAAGGGAAGAAGGGCTTGAGCCAATACTTGTATGCAGGTTGTATATATGTTGAACTTTTGCACGGTATGGGGCCATCCATTTAGTACGTACGCATGGAGGGGGGAGGGGGGATTAACCCAAATGCGTTCGCTTGCGTATAGGGGGTCTACTGACAATGTACACACACATAGGAAACGGGGAGGGGGGGGGGGTGAAGCCTCGATAATAATTTGTTTACATTGGCCTTCAAATGAGTTAGATAGTCCGGCGGTGGACTATCTGTTTGCTCAACCACGTAATATTATTCATTTTTGATCGTTTCTGCGTGGATTAAATATATCGGCCGTTCTATAGGATTCGGGGGGGGGGGCGGGGGTGTATAAAGTACGCGTGCATACCGGAAGGGGAGGAGGGGTCAAGTTTTGACAGATTTTTGCGTGCCTACTAAATGGATGGCTAACCGTGCTAATCGGGCCAGGGGTCAAGAGCACGGATGGCTAAAGGGAGGGAGTTCCAGATTATGGTGGGGACAGCGGAGCAGAGCGTACAACCTCCCAGGAGCTCTAGTTGAAGGGGCTTCCTTAACTCATACAATATGGTCGTGTAATTGTAATTTTTTTCCATTTACTGCTTGAGTTTTGACAACTCCAAATGGTTGTTTTTAATTTAGTTTTGTAGGTATCCAGTGTTGACCTTCAGTTCCGATGCGGTTTTGTTTTCATGTGCGGAGCAACAAACAAATCTCCGCTGTAAACAGCATGTGCTGTCGGTGGGGCGAAAAAAGTACGGATGGGGAGTGGGTGGGGGGCAATGGTGATGATGGAATATGATACTGAACAAAAATTAATTACAGATTTGAGGAAATAGGTAGGAAACACTCGTGAAAAATAGTTTCAGATGCATTGTTATAAAAATCCTCCACTTTTGACAGAAGCGTGTGATTAATTTCTGGTATTTTTGACTGCAATATTATCGGCATAAATGAAAACGCTTTTCACTCGATGTACTCTGTGCCCGTCTCTTCTCCGACTCTCACGACTCGTTCCTGCAACCGCTGCCGAGACGCCCCCGGTACCGTGCAGCGGTGGTTGCAGCTGTGCATAGCAATGAAGGATGAGGTCTTGTCAAAGGCATTGCACCAACAGAGTTACGCATTCTGCGCAGAGCACTTACTCGGTGCTCATGAGTGGGTAATGCAAGGCCGAGAGATGTACAGTGTTTGCCTCCCTCAAGGCCCCATACATAAACGTGTGCTATTTAATACATTTCAATGAAGTCAAATCAGTAACAGCCATATTCAACAACTATATGATGTAAAAAACCAAGAAGCTGTTTGCACTTCCAAGAAATCGGCCTTGCAATTAAATCGTTAATATTCCGTGAGCTAAACCTACTGGCGCTCGTTTGACTTGTTCGTGATGCCGTTTCACGTTGCCTCCGCTACGAGATTCTCCCCCCCCCCACCACCGTAATTAAGTCCGAGCATATCGCAGGCGCTTTCGCCTGCGATATGCTCGTGAGGTTTTTTTTATTTAAAGCTGTCACAACACGTCTTCGCAGATGGCTCTGCAATGCGGTGCTTTTCCTGCGCGCTCGAGAAAAAAAACGCTGAAAATGCCGGCCCCTCGCCACTGTCGCATTCTCCGCTAAGCCTTCGTATCCACAACACCGTTGCGCGGGGCTCTGCGGCCACGGCGGCCAAGAACACGTCTATGCTCAGTTGCCTTCGCCAGGAATCTTACGGGTTTTTTTTTCGTCATGGGATACTGAACTTTGTTTGAAAGGCAACGGGGGTCCCGTATTGTCAAAGAGAAACACGACGAACGGTTCTCACGCATTCCTGTTGACGCACGTATAGTTTCGCGAGAAAAATAAAAGGCGGTTTGGTAGACAAAATAACAGCGCTTGACATCAGATGCGTTCCTTGCAGTCTAAGTATAGATTTGTAGATAGTGTCTCTTACAGCGGTTTTTTTTTGCGTTTAGAGGTTGGATTTTTGTTTTGTTATTTCCCACACACTCACTCGTCATGTCCCTTCCATCCGAGCGAATCCGCTTTCCTCCGCTAGCGATACCACTCGTTGCGTCCCTAGGTTTGAGGCCTCGGGGGGGGGGGGGGGGATGTGCGGTAGCTGACACGATTAAATTCAGCTGGTGTTTTAAATCTTGTCTCCTTTATCTCAAGTTTCACACTAGCGGATAAAAAATAATGCTTTTGCACAAGATTGTTTTTTTTACACCCACTTCCACTCTCGAGCGAGCCTCCTCAGCCTCCTCCATGTCCGGCCCTTACATATTTGTGGGTATTTGTGCGTGCGCACCCACATGTGTCATTTCGTGTTTTACCCAGAGTGCTTTGAACCCGGCCATAAGAGCCATCGCAAATTGGTCACTTGAGCACGTTTTTGCTCACGGCAGGATGTCAACTCGGTCGCGTAACAGATGCTGATGCAAATAAGAAAGCGCATTAAAGGCGAGGGCAATTTTACGTGGCTTCATGAGGGTTGTTGGGTTTTTCAGGCGGCCAGAGTGCGGAAGAGTGCACGCAATCTGCACCGGGTGCGGGGCCTCGAGTGTTGCTTTTCGATTGGCGCTGGCGGCCGTCTGTGACGCGCCGGGTAATTTTTTTGTTTTGTTCTTTTTCAACTCTCCTGCCCCGCTGTGTTTCAGGAGGCGGAGAGGTGGCAGGCCAACGTGGAGAGGGCAGCAAAGGTGGGCAGCAGCCTCCTTCACAAAACATTCCTCGCCGATGAGTCACTGGTGGTGGTGGTGGTGGGCAGGCATGGAAGGCAGAGCATGTGCACACTCTTTTGAGAGCCTTCAAAAGGGTAGAGAGGGCTGACGTGACCGCGTAGGGGTACAGCGTGGATATTTACTCCAGCGTGAAAATACGAACACGAGAGGAGTATTCCTTCGGTAGATTCAAAGAGTTTTGAATGCATGCATGCATGCATGATTTTAACTTTATTTCCAAAAATAATTCATGCCAAGAAGTAAAAGCTGGTAAATACATTAATTAAGGGAGCCACCTCCATTGTTTGAGGATGACTCGTGGGCCATAACCTTACGTGCGGAGAAATTAGGATGTCAGGAAACTCTTGGTTTTATATTGTGGGGCATTCCAACGAATATCGTCCCAAGCGGAGTTGGCCATGCAAAGAAATACTGCAACGCACAGAGTGCATATGGCAGCATAAGGACTCACTCGCAGCGCACGCTCAAAGCTAAAAAGGTCACCAGCGCGTTGGGGTGATTTTTGACTCGATGCCGTATATCACTCCGTATCCAGACATCTGAGCCGACCCACAATGCCGTTCAACCCATCTGGATTTGTATTTGAATTCTATCCATGGTGATTCCAATCACACGTTAATGATTGGGTAATGGTGTGTCACATGAGTATTGATACTTTATTGTGCAGTGTCTTTTACTTTTGGTGGGAAACTGGAGTACCTGTAGGACCCCCTCCCACCAACAATCTTTCGCTATGCTCTACCCACTGCTGCACATGGGCTGATCTCATGGTTTCATCAATCCAGCAGTGTAATACAAATAATCAATTCACCTAGCCCCGAGTCGGGACTCCTGCAGCCACTGCAAGTCTCTGCATGTCATTTGATTAAATTGTCCCGATGATTGTTGCCCAGATTCGAATCGATAATCAATTGTTTTGTTTCTTAATTTAGTTTCTTCTCAGTTTGTTTTCTTAGCAGTTGTGTTTGTTTCAATTTCACATGCACGTTCTTCCCATGCACGTACAGTAGCCACTCATGCACATATATAAAACGGATTCACCAAGGTACAGCGCACTCTTCACTATTAACCTGAGAAAAGTTAACTTTATAGTGTTTCTCATGCTTATTTTATGCCTGTTTTACATCGCTGTAGTGGTTATTTTTACCGTAACGCCGTACACTTCACAATCGTGTACGCGAATATTTTGAGGATTGCTTTGCGATTAATTTAAGTTAACGTAAAAAGCGGGATGCAATACGATCCAAACAAATTCGGGGAAAACCCCAAGCATAATTCCCGGTAACTTCCGATGCGGCTCACGATCCTCCAATTGTCGGGAGGCGGTTAATGCTCCGCAGGTGAGCGAACGCTCGGGGTAGATCCCGGACCCCCAAACGGGGATGATGGCGCGCGGTGCGAGCGAGCGCTGCTGGCGCTCACAGCGGCGACTCGGGGCCACTGCGTGGCACCGAACGACGCCCCCCCACCCCCCCCCCCACACGTGTGCTGCGCATGCCTTTTGGTGCGCAAGGTCACAACAAATACACGGGCGCTCATCCCAAGCGGCGTTCGCTGCGAATCGCCACCGGTAAGCAGCGGACCGTCAAGTAGTTTTTTTTGTACTGAAACTTTTTCGAGTGAATAAACATTTATTGACAACAAAGGTTTTATTTTTAAAAGAAAATGGAAATGAGTACCAGGAAACGATTGACGAAATTCACAAATTAAAGCTCCAGAGTTGAGCCTCAAGGCGATGGAATGGTAGCCAAAGGAGAACCCGTGGCAGGGAGTATGACCAACGTGGAGATGAGCAATCAGATTAGCCCCGGTTAGTACGGTTTGGCTACGTACGGTGTGAAATAAGTTCAATGTACATACAGCTCACGTTCAGGAGTGGGATTGTGGCATCACTCTGTGTGGACGGAGAAGATGTGGAGTGGTGGCCTTCATCCAGTAGTGGATAGACATTGGCCTGATAGTGGAAGAGTTGCCAATGCTTCCTGAAAATGTTGTCGGATCTCGGCGATAACCTTGGAAGGGATTGCTTCAAGGGTTTTGTAGTTTCCCTAAAGACATGCCAAGTGTTCTCGGACAGTCAGTCGGACAAAGGTAAATATTTCCCGGAATAGCACAGTGAGTTGCCTATCGGCTCCCTTGAAAAATGTAACTGCTACAATCATTTGCTAATCCAATTGACAATCTGCCTTTAATCTCAAAACAAATGTGGCCAGACTAGTTTTTTTTTCCGAGGCATGTTAGGCCAGCTAAGAGGGATGGTTATAATGGCTGTAATGACATCCACTTTCACTTTGTAGCCGGCATCTGTTTTCGAGCTTTTAAAAACAGGCTGCTCTGAGCGGGCGCATGTGTGTGTGTGTTTTTTGGTGTTTGCGCTGCCAGTTGAATCATGTTCTGCTGGGGCTTGCCCGTCACACCGTGACTAAAGTGGGGCTTTTATCCTCGCAGAAACCGCGCGTTGCACAGCGACACTCGCCTCTGCCTGCCCGGAGAGTCGGCCAAATCCACCTCCCATGACCAATCCTTATGCGGGTTGGGAAAATAAATAAATAACATTCGAAAAAACACATTTCAAACGTGGGTTGACCCCCTGAACTCTCCCAGAGCCACTCCCGTGGCCAAACGAATTTCTCGGGCAGCTCCGCAAGGCAGCGCATGATTTAACCTCAAGCGGCTGCAGGGAAGCACGTCGCATGATTGTCACATGGTGGTGGGGGGGGGTGGTTCTTTTAGTTTTAAATTTATTTTTATATTGAGTTACACAGTCCTTTCAATCTTCATACGTCGCGGAACAAAATGACGTCTGTGGACTTTGAGCATTACAACGTGACCGTTTTTGTGGCAGTTAGGCGCGTCGCTGTGACATGTCCATCTGTACTCTGGGCAGCGTTTGATGATTTTATAACCTTGTAAGTTGGATTTTTACGACGCAATTTCGGTCACTTTCAAAAATCCCCTGCCGTATGGTTGCACCTCCCTCATGCTGTGTTAGTCATGGGGGTTGTTTGACCTTACTTTACCACACTGGTCAGTGCGGGCTGGTGACCCTTGACAAGGAGCGGTACAGATATCACTCGCCGCTGATGTTAGGCGTGGCCAGGAAACGAATTCAGGTCACTGGGGTTTCAGAGGGCAGCGCACAAACGACCGGTATTCAGGGCAGAACCAAAAAATAATAATTGTCCAAACCTGACAGCGGCACGAGAGAGCGGGCCTGGCTGCGGGCGGCCTGGCCGAAGCGGGGAAGACGACTAGAAGCGGCACGCTGACTGAGCAGGATGAAGAGTGCCCCGCCCAGTGAGATCCCATCTCGGCCACGATGCTGGCGATCGACTGCAGTGGCACAGAGAATGGGGGCACTTAGCGAATGCTCTGTGTGCCCCCGCCCCCCCCCCCCCTGTCATGCGATAGGCAGACCGCCATAGGTTACAGAACAAGGGAATTAGGTTTTAGAGGAGGAAGGAGGATGGGCAGTGAGACGTAAGAGGGGGTTGGGGTGGTGTTCTGAGAAGTCTAAATGTTTTATATGCTGAAAGCTGCATGGTGTGGTTCGTTGTATGAGGTTTTAACGGGACAAAGGTGTGAGGTCAATGTGCAATGGTTTATATATTTTTTTTACAGATTTCCCTGCGGCGGTACTTTGGTTACAAATCCAGATGTTCAGTTCTTGTTTAAAGCACAGATGTTGACATCACTGCAGCGGGGATGACAGACAGGGCTTTGCGTGGGGCGGCTACAGGGTGTGACCTAGATTTTTTTTCAGACCGAAAGACAAAAGGAACAGGCTATGATTGTACACAACGCACTACGTACCTCGCTTCAGATCTGTCTGCCGTATCCTGTATACGCATCTCAGTATGCATACGTTTGTACACAGATTCATCAAATTAAGTGATAGCTCCGTATCGACGTTTTTGTTTGTTGTGTTCACCCACTATGTGGGAGCACAAGTAGTAACTGGATTTATGCGGGAGCTGTCACAGCTTTAGCATAATTCTTCCAAAAATACCTGAAAACTTGAGGTAGAAAATAAATATTAACCTTTGTAGACCTAGCTTAAACATTATAACGGTCAACAGTTTTGTCCTGCCAACATCGGCAGTCCAAACTCGAAAATTTTATTTTCAATAATACGTTATTGGTCGAATCGTAGCCTTGACTATATTTGTGGCGAAATTCTTATTTCTAGTCCTTCTGCAACATCTTGAGTATTTACATCAGTCAACGCATTCTCTGTCGCTCACTATGGCCGCATATATTCGATGTGTGTGTGTTACGTATTTTCATGGTTATCATTAATCACCCTTTTATTTAACTGGGTTAAAGCCTCTTTAAGACATACTTGATTGCACGCGAAGCCTTGGTTCATATGAATAAATAAAACACCTGCTTCTGGTCCCTGGTGTTAACCCACATCACACTTGAAGAGCACCTTCTCGTAATCGGCCATCCTTTAAGACCACGCGGCATATCGCCATGGAATTGATGGTTGTGGCGATGTTAACTACCTTGCCTGGTATACAGGAGGTCGTTGGTTCGATCCCAACCCTGATGTGGAGTTTGCATGTTTTCACCGTGGTCGCGTGGATTTTTCTCCGGGTCCTCCAGTTTTTCTCTCGACATTTAAAATCAACAGACGTTCAGAGTATTTGGCTGCTATAAATTTCCACGTGACAAGCCACTTCGTTGAGCTATCATTTGTGGCCAGGTCTCGCCTGAAAAAGAGCTATATAGCTGAATAGTGGGCCTTACCTGGTAAAATTAAATTTAGTTTTTAAAATAGTTACTTGGGTGTGCCGTGGAGGCAGGAGGCAGTTTTCCCGGACACTACGTCCCCCGTTGGAACCCATTCACCATTTCCCACGAGAAGCGTGACTGTAGGGGAGCGCGGGCGCCGCGCAATGGAGCCCTAAGAATTTGTGACGCGTCACACCGACCGGCGGTCGCCCCCCGGGCCGCTCCCCTCGTACCACCGCCGAGATGGCACGGCGCGATAAATGCCGCAGCCGGACAAGGTCAGAGGGGTCGTCCGCGAGCCGCCCTCGCGGCGCTTGCCTGCTGTTGCCGAGCCGAAGCGGGCATCTCTCGCCAAGCCCCCTCTAATGAGTGACACGCGGTTGCAGTGCTGCGGCGGGCCCGATGGGCGTGCTTGGCCGGTGTGGTGCTGTGCCCGACGGGGAGCGGGTGATGGCTGTCGTAATGCGCGTGCGATTTGCTGATGCCTAAAATGAGAGCATAATGCACGGTAAACAAACTCCAGTAAAAAAAAACACAACGGAGCGCAGTTTTGAAAGTGTCTTTAGAAAGTGCTTGTGCAGCACGTCGTGGTAATAGCGCCGAGGCCCGCTGATGGGTGTCATCCGGCGTGGCCAGTCAGCAGCACTTCGAGGGTTGGACTGTGGCACAAAAGAGGTTCAAGGGAATGTGGGCTGCCAAACTCTGGCGGAGTCGTGGGTGGTGCTTATCTCCATTGGTGGATGTTTGCCAGTGGCAGAGATTAATTTTTTTCATGGTGAGGGCCAACTTATGGCGCATTATACAATATTGCAGAAAATGTTTTTTGAAAACGATGACAATAAGTTGGTCTGCCGTGTAGTTAAAGCCATTGATGGGTTATTTGCTCATCATATTCAATAAGTGGGAATGAAAGCAGTGATTGTTTGCTTGCGAAATTGGAACGCGCTTCCAGATCCATTTTGCCGAGCAGTTGCAGGAGACGGATCAATCATGTCGGCTCCCTCGGCCGCTCCCAGATAGTCAAGCGACGTTCTGCCCAGAGTCGACGGGAGTTGGCCAGCATTGCACCGGCGCTGGCTACCATTGGCCCAGTGCACCAAGTTGGCCTGCTGTGTCGTCAACCGGGCTGGAAACTTGGCCGTGGTTGAAATTGGAATGGCTCGTGGTCTTGCCGGAGATGGCGTGAGTGGAACAGCAGCCGCGGTGGGTTTGGGAGTAAGGGGGGGGGGGAGACGCCTGGCTGGGCAGTTTGTTTTTAGCGTGCGATGCTTTTGGGATGGCGCTAAAATGGGCCACTGACCGAGCCTGCGCGGCGACAGATGGCGAGGCACAGTTGCAAACGAAAACAGCGCTCGCTTTTTGCCCCGTGGTCACAGCAACGGAGCGGCAGCTTGATTGTGTTTGCCGACGCCGCACGCCTTTGATGGACGTGCGATTTATTCACGCGCATGTTTTTTTAATTTTTGTTGGTGGGGGCGGGAGACGTTCTCGCCAACTGTACAATGAAGGACGTGGAAGGGGGGGTGAGCGGTTGGCATTCAGATGGGTTCAGCAGAGCGAGGTTGGGGGGCGGTGATGCCGCGCTGCGGTGGTGAAGGTGGGAGATGAAGGGAGTGCTTGGGGAAGGCTGCCTCTGTAAATAATCACACGTCACCTCTCTTAACCCCTTAGCCATGCGCTGTCCCAGTACTACATTACAAAATTGCGCTCGTTTTGTGTAATAGCATATTGGCAAACACATGCAGGAGTTTTATTTTATTTTTAGCTGGCGTACTCGGTAGAAACCCTTTTAAAAAATGCTCGGGTGCAAAAAAAAAGAACGCATTGTCACAAGAATTGCATTTACACCTCCGGTTACTCGTGTCAATGCGTCACGGATGCAAATGTTATCATTTAAATGAGAAATACGATCTGCTATTTAAAAAAATATATATTCTCGTCCTATGAAGGATTCTTTTGTTGCCTCTCATCTGTTGAGAGTAGCAGAAACCCTTTTGGTTCTGCGCCATTGCCGAATGCGTCGTGACTCCTCCGTTGGCTCGGCTCTGTGCGCACGTCGAGGGCTTCTGGTCGCACGGATGGAGCCGCTGCACCACCGCGGCCTCTCCCTCCCCTCCCATCGTCCCCTCCGTGATGTCCCCCGTGCACCGCTCCAACCCTCCCTCCGCCTCCTGCAGGCATTTCGTGACAAGCATGGCTCTAATCAGGCCATTGCACGAAGTGGACACGTGACCAGTGCTCCAGTGCTGTAAACAGATTTTAATCCAAACCGTGCGCTAATCTCGGGGATTTGGCATTAGTGCGTCTGCACTCGGGAGGCCGAGAATTACTGCGTAATGGTTTCCATCCGACGAGCTTGCCATGGATGGATATAATGTCTGTTACACATATACACCGTGTATATATGTATGCACACGTACACGCACGTAGGTATGTGTACGTAAATAAATAAAAACCATGCCCTCCGCTGGAAAGCTTTCAAGGGTGCATCAGCCGAGCAATTGATTGAATGTGGTCATCACAAGGAATGCTCTCTCTCTCTCAAAGGGCAACGTTGCCATGGAGGTAGTGGTGGTGGTAGAGGGTGGGGTAGAGAGGTGAGGCTTTACAGTATTTAGAGCACAGCCACTTGAGAAATGAGTCACACGTGGAGTTACAGCATAAGAAGTGAATCATGCTCTGCGTGTTTTGTTGTGCTCTGTTATATCACGGCGATCGAATTGCAGCCGCATAAAAGCTGTATATTCTGCATGACAACAATTCACTTTCGGTGCCACCAAGCACCCCCTTCGCGCGTGATTGCGTTTCAGTGATGGCACAAACGTTGACTGATATGGGGTCTCGATCTTTTGCCACAAACGGAGTGGAGATGGGAACAATAATCACGCGGGCGCCTCTTAAGGCGGCTAAGGTTGTTGCTCGGAGGAGGTGGAGGGAGAGAGAGGCTTTTGCAGCTCCGTCTGCAGTTGTGTCGTGCGTGTGGGGTGGCGTGACAGCGGGGTCCCACGGGCGTTCGGATGATGTGGAGTGGAGTGGGTGGTGCCGGGTGCGGGGGAGGGTGAAAGGTCGCTGAGAGGTTGACGCATAGCGGTCGCCGTGGCAGCTGAGGCACAGCGTGGGAGGCTGGGGATGATGGGTAAATTATACGTCAATCTCAAGGAAAAATATTATTGTGTGGGTTTTTTTTACGCTTTAAGAATTTACAATGTCGATGTCAAGTGTGGCACGATGCCATTGGCCAAAAGAGGTTAAAAGTTAATTTAAAAAAACAAGCATCATGACAAAAAAATGACAAGGTCGCTAATGTTGAGATGACACTTGTTTTTCTGTTCAACCTTTGCACAGTTGACCCATAAATAATGCACGACACTAATTTGCTACTTGTATGCTGTCAATCTTGCGTGTCGGTTAATCCTTGTGTACGTACGTGTGCATATGTATGTACGCGCGCGCGTGCGTTTTGTCCCCGGACAGCCGCTGCCCTCGGCTCCGCGCATCCCGGCGCAACCCCCGGTGAGGGTCGCTGGGCCGGCGCTGCGGCCCTCCCGTCTGTCTGCCACCGCCGCCCCGGCCCCGGTCGCGGCCCCCGCGCCGCTCGACGCTTCCCCGGCCCGACCGCCGCGGACGGCGGCCTCCCGAGCCGAGGCCGCCCTGCTGGAGGAGGCCGGGCGGACGCTGCATCAGGTGCAGGACAACCGCAGGAACCTGGAGGAGAACCTGCGCTCCGTGGTGCGGGGTCGCGACGGCGCCGTCAACTACGCGCTGCTGCTCGGAGCGATCGCCGAGGGCAGGTGAGCGGCGCCGTCCTCGGGGTCAACGCGCGCGCGCGTTTGCTGCACGCGCAACGGGCATTTCGTTTTTTCTGGCCACGTTTACCGAGATCCACTTGTCAAGTTTTTTTTTGTCGTCGCTGTGGGACATTCACTTATCAGTGGGGTGTGGGTAAGTGCAGCCGTTACGTTATTATTTTTAACTTTCGCGACGTTTTCCCAATAAACCGGCATCTTCTCGAAGCTAACGCTCCCCTGTAAACCCACTGACCCCACGGCCCCGGCTCCCCCGATGTCCGTGAGGGTGACGAGGGTTTCCACCACGCACGCGGCTGCAAACTTGAACGGTCGCAAGAATCCGGCAACGGCCGCTGCGACGATCGTCGGCCGGGCCGCCGCTGTGTGAGTCATTAGGGCTCGGCGTGGGGACCGTCAAGACCAGGGGGCGCGTTGATTTAAAAGTGAGGTCGCAGCGTAAATCAGATGCAGAGTGCACGGAGCGGGCCTGGGAGACGATGCTGTAGATAAAAGTAATTGACTCTGTGAACTCCCGCTCTTTATTTATGCGCCACCCTTCCATTTATCAACGCATCCGACGTCATGGTCACAAACCCAGCTGAGGAGCTGTCCTTAGCACTATCTTGACATGTCGCACACCAGTCAGCTATGTGTCTTTATCAGTTAAATTATTATTTATTGTTTATTCGTTCTGTCCTCTTGCTACGTGCTTTTCTTTGAAGTCTCTACTCTCTCGAGACTGTTTAAAGTCTTCTTGGCAATTAATCCCATACCTTACAAAAGCCTTGTGCCTGTGGTAATTTGCTCAGAAATGTCACGTTTTGTTATTTTCATAAAGCAGTCGTGAACGGGTCTCTTCGCGACATGAACACATTTTTCCTTTTGCTGTTGTTATTTTTGCCCCCCTTCAACGAGCATTTCTCTTTGTGAGCATTTCTCTTTGTGAGCGTGCGTGCTGGCGTTTGATACGGTTGATGCAACGGGTATGATTTTCACGTTACAAACAAGGACTGCTTGCTGCGTGCGCGAGGCATTCACTTTGGCCTAGTTCGGCCATTGTGTAAATCTGATGTAAGCGTATTTTGCGCGTGATCCCAAGTCATGCGCTGCTGACTTTCTTTCCCTTGCATGATGTGAGCCCTTGCGGAACAGAATTAAAAAGGATTAAATTAGATCAGCTCCTGGCATTCCTGCAAGATCTGGGCTGATAGGCGTACGCTGTCGAAGTGATCACCGACGTTGCGTTAGATATAATTACGCGAGAGCACGTGCTGCTGAGAAGGTGCTAAGCCATGGGGCAAGGCGTAGGGGGCATTCAGTAAATTAAATATCGTGTCAATGTTTTGGATGAAGCTGTATACACTGTTGTTCTTCTTACCGTGCGGGTTGATTGGCTCATAGAAAACTGATTCGCTCTGCGTGTCCTGACTTGCGACTGAGCGGCATGCGACAATGACTAATCCGGCAGACACCATCCCCTGCAGTTTACGGAAATTACTAACGAGGCCGTCACGCTGCAGTTTCCTATCAACAACTCGTGGTTAAAATTATAATCTTCTCTAATATGTGAGTGCTTCAGGAAGCTATTATATTTCAGCAATGGTGGAAAAATAACAACAAAGCATTACATTGATGGAAAACAACATGACCTCCTTTTCCAGAGCCATGGGTCAACAATTGTGTTCATATTTGTGCAATAAAATGGCTTACCACGAAGCTTATCATTCATTTTGCACTCCATGTAGTCTTGGGAGCTGGATGCATCTCTCAATTAAGTAGGACTTTGCTCATAGTGGATGTTGTTGTTATGAGCTTACTTCATTCTGTATGGGTACTGGCTCACCTTTCAATGTTTGCAAACATGGTCAGATTTGTATCGCTAACCACGCTTCTGCCACTGCTAAATTCAGCACTTTTGGCCAAATAAGCCAATCTCCAGATGCAATCTTTGCACAAAAGCCTTGATTATAAATCACTGCCATTTCCTGGAAGAAAAGAGATTTTAAGATAACTGCATTTCCAAAGCAGTACAACCCGTTTTAAACCTTGTACCATCCCAGTTCTCACACGTGGTTACAGCTCATTTTCTTCCCTTATCTTAAAGTGCAACGGAACGGCGGCGGCGGCACCCAATCGTAGCGTGCGTCTGGGTAGGTGAACGCGTGGCCGCCTGCTGCTGGCGGCGAGAGCGGCGGCCGCTGTGGGGACGCCGGACAGGCCGGCGCGTCTGCCCCGCGCCCCTCCGCTGCCTGCGCCCCGTGCGTCGCTCGCGGTGCCGTTTGTCCGCCGCGCGCCCTTTGCGCCTGCCGACCGAGTCGAAGGCTACACAGGTGCGCGTGTCCTGCACACGCGTGCGTCCTGCCCGTTGCCCACCCCGGCGCTCCGCTGATTGCGTGGGCTTGTGCCGGTTCTCGCGGTGATTTGCGGGGATTGGCAGATGGATTATTTGACATTGCCAGGGATCTGAGAGACCGTGGCATGTAGCACATTGGGTGTCCGATTTACACCTCTGGTTTCAAGTTCATTCTGTTTAACCAAGTGAGAACTCAAGAGATCACAGGATACAGTCGTCTCATTTGGAAGAGTGACCTGGGTTCTGGTCTCAGCTGTAGGCAGAGGTACAAAAAAGTGGGTGAAGATTCCCCAATTAAGGCACCCTATTCATAATACAACGTGCCAGAACGTAGTGATAAGATATATACAAACTATTTATCCTCATAATATGAGTATATATATAAATACATTTACAGGTTTCCCTCGCTCTATGCGGTGGTAGTAGATGCGTTCCAAAAAGAGGGAGCACAAAGCGAAACCGCATAAGGAGACAGCTGCACCCACAGCACACACACAGTACACACACACACACAGTACACACACAGTACACACACACAGTACACACACACACAGTACACACACAATACACACACACACAGTACACACGCACAGTACACACACAGTATACACACACAGTACACAGTACACACACAGTACACACACACACAGTACACACACACAGTACACACACACAGTACACACACACACAGTACACACACAGTACACACACACAACACACACACACAGTATACACACACACATTATATACACACACAGTACACACACAGTGTTGTCCCACATCCGACCGCATAGCTACATATGAGTGAACTTAAACTGCATACAGCGAATTTTTAGGTCGAAATAGGTTAGCCGCATGTACGCACAATTTAGAACAAACCGAACCCGCATAAAGCGAGGGAAACCTGTGTCTATTTCCCTGTGTTTGGGTAGTTGGCCATGACATGCAAGTCTTAGGTTTTGTATGGTGCCTTGCGATGCGGCTGCATTCAGACGCAGCACAAAGTCCACGTTGTATTTGTGTTGTAAAAATATATGGCGAATGTAGCTTCCCGAAAATATCTCTTCACGGCATTATTTTGGATAAGTGTTTAAAATTTGACAACGCATTAGTTGTAGTGTCATCCGGCCCATGTCTCCACTGCAATGGAGACATTGTACACGTCGTATCTGTCTGGCCTGCTCCTAACCAAATTGATTGTAACTGGTTACCGCGCAACATTTGTAATTGCTTTTATTAATATTCTTGGTTCTTTCGGTAAAGTCACGTAGAACGGAAACAATAAAATAATAAAAATATAAAACAATTAAATTCTCACGACATTTCGACTGCAGCACAAGCAATCATCATCAGGTGTGAAAAACACAGCAGTTATTAATTCATCTTGTCTTAATTTAATTTTATACCTACGTGACTTTACCGAAAGAACCAGAGTATGGATTCCTGCAGTGACGAAAGCTTCAAATCAAGATTGACTTAAAGCTTTTGCGACTGCAGGAATTCATATTCTTTGGGTCTTTCGGTAAAGTCACGTAGATAGGTTCAAAGAAAATAACAAAAACTACGATGTTTCGATCGCAACACAAGTGGTCGTCATCAGGAAAAAGATTTGTTCATGAAGCCATCCATATATACAGACATAGACACAATTTCAACTGAAAAGATGGGTATGGCAGCCCTTTAATTGGTGGAAGCCCATCACCGGTACCATCACTGCCCTCTACGAGTACCATCACTTCGAGCAGCAACCTCCACCGTCAGCCGTGTGAGTGTGTAAGGCGAGGTGCAATGATTACTTGGCAGCTCTTTAATTGGTGGAAACCCACCACCAGCACCGTCGTTGCCCTCTACGAGTGCCATCACTGACATGAACATCAGCTGCCCCGCCCATGCTGCTGACACTTGGGCTACGCCCATTTCAAACCTTTATAAACAGTTTGTCTTTAGAGGCTAACCCCCTTTTCCTGATGACGACTGCTTGTGTTGCGATTGAAACGTCGTAGGTTTTTGTTATTTGCTTTGAACCTATCTACGTGACTTTACCGAAAGACCCAAAGATTATTAATTCATGTACTTATCAATATTTCTTCATCAATGTTTCTCTACACATAGTCTGTGGTGCTGATGGTGTGGGGCGTCCTGTCGTGGCCGTCGTTTCTGTGCGTTTCTGTGCGATTTGTGCAAGGCAGGCCTGCTACCTTTATTGTGCTTGCATGTTTAAAGATATTTAATGCCATATTTTAAAATGTGCGCATATTTAAGATTTTTACCTATATATAAAAAAAATATTGCAGGTAGGAACAACAGTTCCACACTGCCCATCAGGGATTATTTGTCTGTCGTGCATAGCCCCTCCCAAACATGTACGCTCCCGGATTGGTTGAAGTGCGTCACGTGACCGCGAGCTTTCTGTTGTGCACGAATGCGCTGTCCAACCAAGTTCCTACCTGCCCACTCCGAAGGAACGTGTTAAGTGCCTTTTCACCAAAAAGCATTTTGGGAATGAGAATCTAATTTCTTAGCAATTTTTTTTTACATGACGATTTCAAATGTTTCCAGTTATCCCAGTTTAATGACAAACGCGGAGCACTGCTAAATGGACGAGGTGGTTGAGTGGCTCAGGACCCGTAAATCAGAATCTGAATATTTA